GGAAAGAGGGAGCCCGAGGCGTTTGGCACCTGCTGGCCGCAACCCTGGCCCTCGATTCTGGGCCCTGCCGGCCAGGCCCAGAAGCCGGCGGTCGCGCGCAGCCTCCCGGCTCCGCCGGGATGCAGGGATGCTCGGCCCACCTGGTCCATCTTGGGCATCACCTTCTGCCGGCCCCCCATCTGGAAGCGCAGCAGGTTGTAGAACTCCTCGGGGTGCCCCAAGCACTTCACGAACTCCATGCTGGCGGCGGCGAACTGTCGGACCTCGGAGCTCACCTCGCGGATACCTCGGGACGGCCCCTACCCGCAACCAAAGATTAGTCGGAGGGCGGGGCGGAGGCGGGCCCAGCGCGGCGGCGCCACGCCCACTTCCCCACCAACTTCAACTGGCCTCGGTCTCTCGCGCCGCTGCCCGTGAGCTCGCGGGGTGGACTGGAGAGCGCTGATTGGCCAGGGCCGCTCGCACCAGCAAGATGCCGGCCAATCGGCGGCGGGACGTGTCTGGCGTGAGGACCACATCCTAGAAGCTAATTGGAGGGAGAGAAAGAGGCAGGCGAGCGGGATTGGTGCTCCTAATGGGGGCGGGCCTTTGCTTTCCTCTGCTTTCCCAGCGCAGGGCTGGAGGAGCGAACCCAGACTTTGAGAAGACCCCCGAGGCGGAGCTCAGTGCGTGGGAGGATTGCTCCGGCCAAGCTTTCGCTGAGAGCCCAGCGGGCCAGAGCCCGCTAAGCCCTCCACGTGTTTGTCCTGCCAGGCAGATTAGCTCTTGCGGGACGCGCTCGGCTCACAGCCGCGCCTCGAATGGGTGCAGTCAGCCTGAGGCTTCCGAGCACGTAAATTTTGTCCCAAAAAAGGATCTGAAGCGTTTCTACGGCCTATCAAAGGGTGCTGTGGAAATTTTTATCTCGATCCTAGAGCACTCACAAGCCCTGGAAAAATACGTGCTACCCCAACCCCCAAATCTATTTTAACACCGCAATCAGTGATCCTTTTAAAAATTAAGGCAGCTCTGATCACTGCCTAAAAACCCTGCAATATCTGTCCATTTTACTCGGTAAAAGCCAAAGTCCCCACGAGGGTCTAAAAGCTCTGCACGAGTAGCCCTCCATCCCCATTACGTCTCTCACCTGCATTTTCAATCCCTCCCTCCTTGGCCCCAGGACTTGTCTACACTTCCTTCTTCCTGCAATATTTTTTCCTCCGGAAATGCAATTGGCTAACTCGTTCACCTCCTTCAAGTCTTTGCTGAACCCTCCTCACCTTATTTACGCCCACCCCATCACAGTTTTATACTACAGCTTGCCCCGCCCTCACCACTGCTGACTCCCCGGCCTGCTCTAGTTTTTCCCGTCCTACTGTTACTGACTAAGGTTTCTGGACTCTTTAGTCAATAGAAATTGATGAAGCCAGATCAGGAATTCAGGCAAGGCGTTACTGGAACTCCAGGGAGTGAAGACAAGTAACAGGTTACCTTGCTCACTCTCTGAAGGGGGTAGAGCTTGTTCCTTAAATGGGGGTAAGGTAGAGGCAGATCATTGGGTGGTGGGTGGGGCCGGAGGCGTGGCTTAGGTGGTCTGCCCACCCCTTTAGTGGTACTGTGTGCAGGGATCATGTAGTACCTGCTTTTGTTCCTGGCACCTCAGAAGTGCCAGTTGGGTTTTGGTCTTTTTGTATCTTATTGTTCATAATTTGCCCCAACTGCCCACGCAGACAGTTATTTTTAGTCCCTTATAGTTTCTTTGTATTCTGTTGCTCATTTGTCCAGGTGCAAGCACTACAGTAAAGGGTCTCAGGTCCCAGCCTATCTCAGTACCGATCACGTTCTGATATAAAATACAGTTTACTTAGGATGTTTAGTGTCTGTTTTTCCTTGCTAGAATATAAGTTCAATGACGACAGACTTTGTTTTGTTTGCTCACATACCCCCAAGCCTCCAGAACAGTGCAACTCTTTGATGTCCCCTCAGCATTGCAAACTTAACATTGCCCTAACTGGAATCTCTCTCCCATTGAGACTGCTTCTCCTGTGAATGGCACTAACAGCCTCCCAGTTGCCTAATTATAAAATCCAAACGTCATCCCTAACTCCTCCTTTCTCTCCCTACACCTGCCCTTTGTAAGTCATTCAACAGTTCTCTGGAATCCAAGAAAAAAACATCTCTCCTCTTAATCTCTCCTCTCTGCTCCATCGAGGTTCAAGCCCCACCTTCTCTCTCAAACTGTTACAGGTCAGTTTCCCATCTCTCTCTCTCCATCCATTCCCATGTAACAGCTTGAGTAATCTCAATCTTTCAATTTTATTTTATTTTATAAGGTATTATGATTTTAATTAGCTTAAGGTGAGGCCCTGTGGGCTTCTTGACTTTGGTTCCATGAGTCCAGTCTGGCAACACAGAAAAACAGACTGAAGGGAGCTTCACTGAGAACTGACTCATTTACCTACAATTTCTTTGCGTTGTATCTGATGTTTGGTCCTTTTTTAAACTCTGTCAAGTTATAACTTTATATCTCTACTTGCATACTGCTTTTGGCCAGAAGACATAAAGCTAAGAGTTTTAGCACTCCCCTGCCTGTTAAAAGGACCCTGTAAAAAAACATTCCCTTCTTTCAATTTTAAATTGCACAAAGGAAATGCCTTTCAAGATAAAATCTGAGAATTCTGGCATAGAATAAAAATCCTCCCATCATTTGTCACCTACATTCCCTTTGGATTTCAGCCTCCTATTCAGTCACTCCACAACTGTCAAACCCTGATCCAGCCTTGGCAGCACTTACCACACAGGCCACAGTAGTTCATACCCCAGGACTCAAGTAATTCACCTGCCCTGAATGCCCTTCCTCCGTCCTCACCAAGCTAGCTGCCACGCCTTCATTACAGCTCAGGTGGACTCCCCTGCTTCAGGAACCCTTTCCTGAAGCTCCCTGGCCTCTCCTTTATCTGTTCTTCAGATTTAACAAACACCCACTGAGCACCGACAACAATGTGGCAGACACTGGAAATAACATAGATGAGGTTCCATCCCAAAGAGGGAGAGACAGAAGCATCTGGCACGGTGCTGCTGTTTATTAGGCACAGCTGGAGCCTCCTCCAGCTCCAGAGTCGGGTCCAGGTGCCCAGACAGAGACTGTGGGAATGGACAAACGGACAGTGACCAGACCATATACGGTAGCACAGTTCTGTCCCACAGCCTCTGCACCAACTGGCCTGGAATGGTCAGGACTTGATCAATTGCTTCTGTATTCTTTGCCTCCACTTCCAACTCAGGACCAACCACAGAAAGCCAAATATGCTCCCCAAACCAATCACGTAAGACAGCCCACTTCGAGTTAGTCTGCTTCCAGCATCCCCTTGCCAACCTCCTCCCATCAGAGCACAATGATGAGTTCATTTTGTTTTTTTGACGATAAAGTTTTCCCACTCCCTGCCTGCCTCTGAGTTTCTGCCACATGCAAGTGATGGGGGCTGATGCCCTTGCTATAGCAAGCTCTGATTAAAGGGCCTCGCTTGCTTATTCTTATTTTGGTGGTCTTTATTTCCACAAACCTCAGTACTTCAATGATGTTCAGTGGTCACTCTCATCCTGAACTTTCTGTATGCTAATTATCCCTTGTCTGACTCTTCACCTCACCTCGAACCCCTCAAGGTCAGGGACAGTGTCTAAACAGGGCACCTGGCACAGTACTTGCCACTTAAGAAGTCTCCATTACTTCGTATTAAATATCAGGGCTTGAAATAGGGACTGTACTGGAACTTTTAGAACACAGACGGGCAGTCACTTATCCAATCCCCTGCCCCCCCACAAAAAGCACTTTACAATAACCTACTAAAGTGCTTCTAACACTCTGTTGTAACAGGCCCGCCTCCTCCTACTAGTACAGAAGTTTTCTTGTCTTGTTTATCATTGTATTCCCAGAACTAGCATTTAGGACATTTAAAAAATATTTATTAGATGGCTAAGGCCACTGAAACCTCACACAAAATTGCAAGTTTTTTACAACGTCAGTTATCATGAAACCCCAGCTCATAAGTAACTCTTTACCCTGGAATCTGCTGAGTCCAAATGCCTCACCTCTCTCTCTTCTAAGTGAAACCGGGACTCGCTGACTCTGTACCCCATTCCTCAACTGCAGCCTTTCCTTATGTCCAACAGGCACGCAGGCCACAGGAGTCATTCCCACCGTTCACCTCGCCATCCCTGTAGGTTCTGTACCACCATCCTCTTCTCTTAACCCTCATTCAGTCCACCTCTGCTATCCCTGCCTTTCCCCTTTGCAGAAGTAACTTGAGACTTTCCGCCGAAAGCCTCCTGCCAGGATGAATGATAACCTTGCAGAGGGCTGCAGTAGCTGTGCTTTCTGCTGGCAGTCCACGTTTCTGCTTCCCCGCTGCTTCCATGCGGAACCCAGTCTATGCAGTTCTGATGCAGAACTCATGGTGCGGCCATCAGCCTTTACAACTCAACTGCCAGGTGCTACTATTTTCCCCCAATACATACTGAAGTCAGAGAAATGATGTCAGCTCCCAAGAGGACAGAGTAGACTGAGGATTATTCTTCCATGTCTTGCTCTATAATCTTTTGTATGGCTTGAATCTTTTGATGTATTTTTTAAAATAATTTTAAACAACTTAATAAAATAATGATTCTCCTTTGCCCTCTTGGACTTCTACCGTTCATACCCTGACGACCTTCAACTGTGGGTTCATCCAGCATTCCTCTTTGTTTTTGACCCTAAGCTACTGGAGACTGCTGTACAAAGTTGGGAAATGGAGCGACTACTCTGGTCTCTAGTGTGGCTCTATAACCTTCCCTTGAGCCCTAAGCGGCTCTAACTTCCCCTCATAGCTGTTACAAACCTCCCGACTCCTACTCTGTGCCCGCTGCTTTTCTCTGGGTCTACTTTCCTTTCCCCACCGGAGCCCAGGCGTCTCTAAGTGCTGGCGCTGGTGTCTCTCTCCCTCCTGGTTTTCCCCTCACCTGATCACACATGAATCCTCACATCACATCCATCCTTTCATCACTCTCCCTCCCTGACCTCCTTTCTCATTTCTTTCAAGGACAACCTTTTTTAAAAAAAAACATTTATTTATTTATTTGGCTGTGCCAGGTCTTAGTTGCGGCACGCTGGATCTTTTTTTTTTTTTTTTTAAGTTGCGGCATGTGGGCTCTTAGCTGCAGCATGCATGTGGGATCTAGTTCCCTGACCAGGGATTGAACCTGGCCCCCTGCATTGGGAGCTCGTAGTTTTAACCACTGGACCACCAGTGAAGTCCCTCAAGGACAACCTTCTTGAAGAGCAGAGCACACTCACTGCCCCCTGGGCTCCCACCCAGTCCTCAGCCCCTGCAGACTGGCTGCCACTCCACACAAATGGCTCTTGAAGGTCATGACCTCAAATTCGACCAAATTGAGGTCATGACCTCAAATTCGACCAACCGTCAAACTCGAAGGCCTCTTCTCCGACGTGTGCACCACTAGCTGCCCCCCGAAGTTCCTTCCTCCTGTTTTATCTGATCTTCCATTGGCTTGTCTTCTCTTGCCCCTTGAACAAAAGACCTTCTAAAGGTTCCCCTGTGACCTCCATCCTTCTCATGCCGCATGATCGCCTTGTTAACCTTCTCGAACCGACCCTCAGCTGTGAGGAAAGCTCCCAAATCCATACCTGCAAGCCTGCACTTGTGGGGAGCCCGGCCCATTTCCTGGCTGTGTTGTCCCCCCACTTAGGTGCAGGTGCCTCAAGCTCAGCACACAGGATCTGACTGTCTCCTCACGGAACCTGCTCAGCTCCCGTGACTCTCTGTCTCAATGGCGAGGTGGGGGCAGCTTCCTCCAGCTCTCAGCCCCCTCCCTCCCTCGTTTTCACATCCAGCCAGCTGACGCGTCCTCCCTCCCTCGTTTGCACATCCAGCCAGCTGACGAGTATGAGCCCATCACCATGGTGACCCTCCCATCTCGTCTTCTTTCCACACCCATGGCTATTTCTAGTCCCGTCGCTGCTTTTCTCAGCAACTGCAACAGCATTTCCCCTTTTCTACCAATCGCAGTGGGCGCCCACCCGCATGCAGGCTGTGATGCCTGTCCAGCCCACCCCCGTCTTGTACTTCAGACCCTGACAGATGCTGACTTACGGGAAATGGCCTGTCTGGGTACCATCTTGGCCCTGAGCTAATGCCTGCCATAAGGTGGCTTTCCCTGCTGTGGACACCTCCCAGTGACTTAAGACAGACAAGTATAAGGGTGCATGTTCACCCTTCTCCCTGCCCTGCTCCTTTTACATGGATCCATCCGACCAACCCAACAAGTCCTAAACAGCATCTTCACAAAGAGCTCAGTTATGTACAGTGAAAAAACCTTTACTGCCAAATAAAAGTGACAACACAAAGTAACAAAGAGCTTTATTTTCATGTCCTGGTTTCTTCTAGGTTTTGCTAACAACCTGGATTCCTGCACTGTTGAGCATGTCAACTGTCACAAACACATCACCTTGAAGAGGAAACAAGTCGCTTTTTTCTAAAGCCCATGGACACACCGGGAAGGTGGCCAGATCCCTGGTCCCCTCGTTTCCCCTCCTTCTCCTGGCATCTCTGTCCCATGGGAAGGGTCCAGGTAGGAGGCTGAATCCGAGCAACACTCTCCTGTTACTCCTTTCTCATCCCTGGATCCCTCTTGGGGAACCAAGAAGGATAATTCCCTTTTCCTGGTTCTCAAATGGAAGGACTTAACACCAGCCAATGTTTCAAAACCAAAACCAAACCAAACCAAACCAAACACCTGCAAAGCAACGCTGGCACAGCTCTCTTCCACTGGCTCTCGTTTTCATTGCCCCACTGTCATTCCGGGAGGTTTCCCCTTAACTGCCATCACGATTTGCCTCGTCTGTCAACAGTGGTGGGATTAGATAGGAAGAATTAACCAAAACTAGAAAAGAACAAAATCGGACCCTGTGGAAACTGCCTCAGCCTGAACTCCGGTGAGATGAACACCAAAAGCACTGGCATCCCGACCCCACCCTCCCAATTCCTGTCCCCAGTCCCAAACCCTGCCCACAACCCCTTGGGCGACACTCAGGCATCACGGTCCCTCAAGGGCAAGGCTCTGCGTAGAAGGGGCCCGAGGAGGGTGCCACCTGCTCTGGCTCGTCCGGTGACAACCTGGGCTGGCACTGGGGGCACCACCACGTGAGCCTCTGGAAGCCCCCTGGAGGCCCCAGTGCCTCCTTCACAACCTGGTGCCCAGCAGGGCACCACTCCTTCTGGTAGATCTGCGTGTGCTGCTGTCTGCCCTGGAACTTGCCCTGCAGCCAGCCCTCACTGAAGGCCACCACATGATCCACCAGGGCCTCGAGGCGCGGAAGACCCAGGAGTGAGCCGGGAGAAAGCGGGTGGATCCCAGCTCTGAACAAGGCCTCGTTCTTAATGATGTTCCCTGGAAGAAGGCAGAGGGGGGACAAGGGAAGGAAAAAGGACACATCCATAAGGAAAGCTGGCCACAAAATTAACAAAACAGAGCGCAGCTGATACGATGGCAGGGGAGAGCTTCTCAGGAAGATCCAGCGCGGCCGGGAAGCTCTCGGGCAAGCCTCGCACTGAAGCAGCCAGCCCGTCTGCGAAGTATTTGCTAACACTTGCCCTTTAAGTTGTTGTGAAGACGAAACGACATAAAACTCACGCGTGGCCCATGTTACAGCAAAGAGATTAACAAAAGGGGCTCCGGACCTGAGTGCCTGGCTGTGAATCCCGGCCCAACCAGATCCCGGCTACCTGACCCTGGTGAATTCCCTGCCTTCTTGAGGCTTCCGTTTCCTGGTCTGTAAAGCGGGGGTAGGTTCCCCGGTTTTCGTGGGCAGTAAATGAGAATTCTCACACACACATACAAATGCTGAGCACTGTGCTGGTATGTAAGGAGGAATCAATAAATACTAGCTGTTATTATTATTTAAAATGTCAAGCATGACGCCTGAAATATAGAAAGTGTTTAGGAGGTATTATTATATTATTTTCATACTCCTGCCTCATTTGCTGTGAAGTCAACCTCGACCTCTCCTACCTGAATCAGTAAGTTTCTTCAAAATGTCCCAACAGTGCACTTTCTTTAACCTCTACTAGGCATTTATCACAGTCTATCTTTAGCTCCAGGGGGCTGAGTCCATGCTTGTTGGGTCACTAAACAACACTCTCGGGCTTCCCTGGTGGCGCAGTGGCTGGGAGTCCGCCTGCCGATGCAGGGGACACGGGTTCATGCCCCGGTCCGGGAGGATCCCACGTGCCGCGGAGCGGCTGGGCCCGTGGGCCAGGGCCGCTGAGCCTGCGCGTCCGGAGCCTGTGCTCCGCAACGGGAGAGGCCACAGCGGTGAGAGGCCCGCGTACGTTCCTTTTTAAAAAAAAAAAAAACAACCCTCTCCTTCAGGAGAGAAGGTGGGCTCGGTGGAGGCCAGGCGTTTGGCACGTGTGGAGCAGATGGACGGGTGAAAAGGCTGCTCTTTCCAAGAGCTTCACAGTCACACAAAATTTCTCTCTAAAATTCGCCAGCAGACTACCTGCTTCATATCTCAGCTGTGCCCTTAGAGCAATGTGTCTTTTGCTTTAGTTTCTTCATCTGAATGAAGGGAAAACTAGTAATGGCCATCCTGAGGAAGAGCAGTAAGGATGAACCCACATACCTGGCACAGTGGAGTCACCTGAAAAACGTCGGCTGTTCTCATTATCGTTTGTAACAACAGCCGGTTACACAGCATTTCTCTTGCTAACTTACCCCAAAGGCCGCTCCTGGAAGCCTGTGCTCCTCTGGGTGCAGGGTCTGCGTTTGTCCTACTATACTTCAATTAAAAAATAAATTAGGGCTTTCCTGGTGGCGCAGTGGTTGAGAGTCCGCCTGCCGATGCAGGGGACGTGGGTTCGTGCCCCGGTCCGGGAAGATCTCACATGCCGCGGAGTGGCTGGGCCCGTGAGCCATGGCCGCTGAACCTGCGCGTCCGGAGCCTGTGCTCCGCAACGGGAGAGGCCACAGCAGTGAGAGGCCCGTGTACCGCAAAAAACAAACAAACAAAAAATAAATAAATTTAAAAAAATAAAAAAAGGATGGAGGGGACGTGATCCCTGCCCTCTGGAAGGTCATGCTCCAATGTGGCTATCAGGCAGACTACGACTGATAATATAATTAGGGTAGGAGAGAAGTTAGAAATGGCCTGATCTACTCCCTCATTTTAAAAACGAGGGAAGTGGAGCTAAGGAGCCCAGGTGATTGTCCAGCATCGCTGACACCAGTGGTGGATGCCAGTTTCCTGCCTCCTGGACGAGGGATTTTTCATTAGGTCGGTCAGCAGGACCACCCTCTGCCATCAGCCATACCTAAGCCTGAGAAGTATCTCTGGTCCAACAGCGTATAGCAGACGGGCTGCTCCCGGCCCAGAGCTTCCAGGGCCTGTCCTCGATGGAACTTTTCCGACAAGATGTCAGAGGTGGGTCTGACCACCGGGGAAGAGGAGCTCCACACCATCCGACAGTTATAGAAGGCCAAGAAGCCGCCCCCGCCGAAGTGCAGGACCAGCCTGGGAAGAGAGGAAAGGTCACAGTGCACAGGGCTATGACAGCAGCATCAGGTCACACGTGCACACACAGCTCTCACTCCGCTCAGGATAATCTGGGGAAGCTAAGGTCCCAGAGGAGAAAAGGGATGGCTCTGCCAGAACTGTTAAACTCTCACTGCCAAATGGAGTAATTAAAAGAAAATGTATACTCTGTCCCTTTTTCTGATAATAATAATACGTGTTGGCAGAAGACACCTTGGGACGTACAGAAAAGTCTCAAGTTCAGGAGGTGTGGCTATGGCACAAAGCAGGGCTTGTTAAGGAAGGAGGACAGAGAAACTGTTGCCAAGTAGGCACCTCTCCCAGTCCCGGGCAAGATCTACCAAGAAAGACACATACACACACCGCCCTCACCAGGGACACAGGAGAAACCTCATGAACCCTGATAAGCAATAACGGGTTACTCTGTGAGGGGAGAGACTGGGGCTGCAGCTGGACTCCAAGACTCACGTATCTGACCTGGGTGGTATCTTATGTGAAAGTAAAGGGACAACTTGAGAGGAACAGGACTCAGAAAAACACCTATGCATAGTACCTGAGGTAATTACTCAAGGAAAAGTACATCCCAACGGAAATTATATCAGCAAGGATCTCAAGAGAAGGGGAGATGGAAAGGATGGATGGAAAGATTAGCACTGGACTCTGTCACGTCTACTGTGAGATCCGAGTGGCCTGCAATCATAACAGTGCACCTGTAATCCAAGTGTGAGGAAAGGATTCTCTGAACAAAAAGACACCTATATTAGTGTGTTTTTAATATTAATTAATATTAATTAATTTAATTATACATAACTAACAGTGTAGTTAATTAACAATATGGAACTAAAATTCTAAACTATCTCAGCAGACACAAGAGATGGGGTAGAAATGGCAGGAAAGTACAGAAGTAGAAATATTTTAAAGGTCTCATCTCAGAGGAGGGGGGGAAGGAGAGTGAGCAAAATACCAGTGTTAATAATAAGGGAAAAGATTATTAACTTAATGCTATTAAAAATTTGATAGTTATTAACTCAGGGAAAAAAACAGATATCATTTAAAGATAATATTATTACCAAAAGAATAAAGATGAAGAGCAGTACTTCCAAATTAACAGAGGTTTCAAAAAAAAAGGAAGAAAAGAGACTTCCCTGGTGGCGCAGTGGTTAAGAATCCGCCTGCCAACGCAGGGGACACAGGTCCGAGCCCTGGTCCGGGAAGATCCCACATGCCGCGGAGCAACTAAGCCCATGCGCCACAACTACTGAGCCTGCACTCTAGAGCCCATGAGCCACAACAAGAGAAGCCACCACAATGAGAAGCCCACGCATCGCAACAGAGTAGTAGCCCCCGCTCACTGCAACTAGAGAAAGCCCGCACACAGTAACAAAGACCCAACGCAGCCAAAAATAAAATTAATTTAAAAAATAAAGGAAGAAAAGAAATGTGATAAGTCCAACAGAAAAAAAGAAAACAAGGGATAATAAAACTACAAATGAAAGAAAATCCAAATAGCACAGCTACCCCATTTCAAAACAAGGAGTTTGCATCTGAGTTTAAAGAGATACAAAAGCCTGCTATTTACTGTTTATAGCAAGCATACCTAAAATAAGTGAAAAAACAGACCTACAACTAAGTGGAAAAAAGACCAGGGGGTGAGCCAACCAAACATGGAGTGGCACTGTTAACATCAAAGAGAAGCAGAATTAGGGCTAAAGGCAGAGAGAGGGTCCAGGATTGTTTAATAATGAAGCTGCAAAGAACCTTTGAGAGTCAGGGACCCTGATGCCTGGGACCAAGGGCAGCAAAACACAGAAACAAAAACAAAAGACAAGGAGAAACTCTATAAAACCACAACTAGCCTGGGGGACTTCAATGATCCTCTTCCCAAGTTTTGCATATTAAACAAACAAACAAAAAGCAAAAGGCTTCCCTGGTGGCGCAGTGGTTGAGAGTCCGCCTGCCGATGCAGGGGACGCGGGTTCGTGCCCCGGTCCGGGAAGATCCCACATGCCGCGGAGCGGCTGGGCCCGTAAGCCATGGCCGCTGAACCTGCGCGTCCGGAGCCTGTGCTCCGCAACGGGAGAGGCCACAACAGTGAGAGGCCTGCGTACCGCAAAAAAAAAAATAAAAAAAGCAAAAACAGAGAAAAGCTGAGCTATCAAAACAATAACCTGTTCTTAACATTTACAGAATGTTTTTCTTTTTTTGTTTGTTTGGTTTTTGTCAGAATGTTTTACTTTTAATGAACATTCTATCTTAATTTATGTACACAAAATGTAAGCGAAGATCAATTATGTGTTTGGCTGCAAATCTTGATGACAAAAGTAGAAAATTTACAGGCTGTCACCCTGATCGTAATCCAATTAAAAAAATTAAAACAAAAAAAACCAAAAAAAGATGACCCCAAACACTCAAAGATTTGAAAAATTAGGAAATACTCTTCCATATGGTTAGTATACAAAACTATTATTTATTTGAAAGACCAACAAAGTAGATAAAACTCGGGCAAGCCTAATAAAGAAAAAAAGGGGGTGGGGCAGGCAAAGCAAAATATGCAGCATAGAAGGAGTTGTAACTTGACAGGAAGAGATTCAAAAATAAGTGAATGACATGAGTTCACTGTGTGGCAATAAATTTGAAGGCCTGCAGGACCAGCTTTATTAGTGGAAGAGCG